TTAGAGACAAGGATGTCGTGAGGGAACAGATTCAGCTGAACAAAACTCCCTGAAAAGGTGACTGTTACATACAGCACTGCCTTGCGGATGACAGGTGTTAGTCTGAAGAAGAGAAATCAAAGATCACTTAGAGAAGTGACAGAAAACAGTGCACTCTATCATTGACCAAGTTTAGTGCTTACTTGAAGCTAGTCTTAAATTATTTAAGAAGTAACCAAAACCTGCACTCACAATTAACTAGAATAAACAAGTATATGAAGTGTGGGATGATTAACAATATGTCTTTTAACTCCTTTTCTGGAAAGTAAGTTAGAAAACAACAACACTAAAGGTAACTTTCAGAAATCAATTATTTGCTCACCAAAGTTGAGGATGACATGAAACTTGTCCCAAAATGAGCAACAGTGTCTGAAGAACAGAGCACAGAAGTGACGCATCAAATGGAAAGAAAACTCCCACTTTAAAGATATAATTTAAAATAAATAAATACCATAATCCATAAAGTAAAACGAGTATTTTATCATTTTTTAAACATCTTGTATGGGGTTCACAGACCTGAGAATACACCCAAAATAACCAAAGTATTCCTTAAAAAAATTATAAATTATTGGTAACAGTTTCTTTAATGGAGATTGCAGGAGTAGGTCCCACATGAGTCCATATATAGCCCTTCTCTGGTCTTGTAGGAACAGTAGGGAAGGGAGATGATCGAGATTTGAAATATTCCGAAGGTGCGTGACAAACAAATTCTAAATATTCCATTTTCCTTGGGAGATCTTCTTCTGGTCCTAGGGGAAAAAAACCCAAAACTTAAAATACAAAATGTAAAGGCATCGAACTAGAGTATACAGGACTTAAAAATATGCAACAACAGCCAACATCACTTGGAGAATGTGCCTTTTCAATCAATGACTTTCCTGGCAAAGTAGTCTCACTAGTATGCAGGAAACCTATACAGCAGAGGCTTAGAAATTACCTATGATATAGGATGCTGGGTCAAAACAATCTTTGGGGCTGGCCTGCGTAGGAATGAGCCAGGTTAGCGCAGCACTCTTTTCACAGTATTGGTCCTGAATAAACCCACGGATCTGAGCGTAGTATGTTTTTCCATCCTGCTCATCAACCACTGAAACAACATCTCCAATTTGATAGTATACACCCTAGAAGACATACGAACGATAATTAATTCCAACAATGTGATTTTAGAAACTTCACTCATTGATTCTGATTTATATCTTAAGTATCTTGTTATGTCAAATTACCCGAGTCTTGAAAGACAGCCTTAGTTCAGTCACACACAAAGGTGAGACAGCACTGTCTCACCTAAGCAGTCATCAGCACCTCATGTCTAGGAGTCCGAGTTCAGTCCCAGAATTGCTTTTGCGACCAGGCAGGCAATTCACACGGTCTCTATCCACCAAATGTCTCGAAGCAACCTGCCTCACCTGTCTTCAAAGACACCGCTCTCTCAGCTGCTCTACATCTCCCTCTCCCAGGATTGCTACACCTCCTGTCTGCAGAGCTGTGATGGTCTCGTTCTGCCAGAAACAGGGGAGTCCGACATCACCTTGCAGAAAAAGTAACTGTGGTGATTTCCCCGTGTATGCAGGGAGAGCAGCTCTCTGAGTATGAAGAAGTTCACTCACTGGAATGCAAAGGAATCCCAAAACACAGACCCACCTCCTACCACTTTCCACGGTACACCGCAGTGTCTGAGGCTGCGCCGCAAAGGCAACTCACTTCACGTTGTGACAGCCGTCGCACAGCACAGTGCAGTGCCTGCACCATCAGTGTCAGTCTGCCAAACAGCATCCAGGTGAGGTTTGTTTTTAAAACAGATTAAAAGACCTCAGAAACCCCAAACAATCCCCTTCTCAACAACACAGCAAAGTATCAAAATAGAAACATTCTGCATAAAGAGATCAGGTTAAATGAAACTTTTGACATAATTCTTGAGAGTTTCTAAAATAAAAAATGTAACAACCTAAAAGCATGCAACAAAAGCCATCGATTCTCTTCTGAACTAGTCAAGAGCAGAGATTGGTCTGGGATGCGAGACACAAAGCATCAGGTCTCTAGAGAGCGCACGGCAGCTCAGACTACTGCTTCTCCTCTGGCTATGCAGTCTCCCAGTGGCTATCCTGAAGTTTTCTTTGGTGGAAAAGTCATTTCAAATGGTTTGTTTGTAATACCGGGAAACAAAAGTAAATTTCAGAACTTAAAAACACTAACACCTTGGCATGCTGGCAGATGTGAGAAGGCTGGCTTCTGCTTTCATTGCAATGTGAGCAGATCTTGTTTCCAGGGTGTTCGAGACACCTTGCATCCAGCTCTGGAATAGGAGCCAGCTTAGATGGTGGGCCAGCGCCGTCCCCTCCACAGGCAATATTCTCTGCAGGAGCTCCACACAGAATTAAATAATCAGCCATAGTCACTTTTGCTTGAGCTCTGCGTGCTGACAGTTCAAAGTTTAAAAACCTCAACTGCAATAATTGCTATGGAAACCGGATGCATCTGAAACAACTGGGACAGTGATAACTATGTAAACTACTGGGGCAAGCTACCTCGCAAGACTTAATGGCAACGACATAAGGCAGAGCAAATCCTACACCACTGCTAGGCGAGGCAGAGCGGTTTCTGTGAATACATCCCTAGTGCTTTCACTGTGCACGCCGATTTTTGAGATTCGGAATAGAAACGGCGAGATCCTTTTCACGAACAAACTTGCAGAAACCGTACCTTATAAAAGATTGACTCTGCTGTAATTATAGTGGATACAGACTCGGGAGCCTTGATGGGCTAAGAAAAGAACAGAGAAATTGACAGTCAAAAGTGTTTAAAACAACCCGTGTGATATCATTCCAGGCTGGTTGTTTTCCCCTTTCAGAGTGATACATTATCTTAGAAAATGAGTAAACACAAAAAATTGGTGCAAACATTTGAAACTTTTGTACTTTAAATCGAAAGCAATCAAGTTAGCATTTTTATTCTCAGGATTTAGAGTGCGGAAGCGAGTACTGATTTCACATGGCTGGTTTCTATTTACACAAAGCCCCTTCCCGCAGGAGGGGAGCCTGAAGGGCCGGATGCTGTGCGGACCGGTGAGTCGCGCCGGCGGCGCCCGCACCGCGGAGGACCAACCCGCCTGGGGCGGTGATGCCGGCTCCGGGCTTCAGGCGGCCTTCGGGCGAGGAGCTGCAAGCTGCGCGCTGGG